AGTGGAGGGTTCGCACGCTTCGCTGGCTTTGGGCAGGCCAGCGAAAAACGGTTGGTGCTTGTGGTGGAAAAGCAGAAACCGGAGACTAATCCTACATCCAGTTCGGCTCCGGAAAGTTCAACTTCTGCTTTGTACTTGATTGTATACATTATTTGCACAACTACGTCAAAGTTTCGACTAGGAACGAAGGCAGTATGCAGAGACATCGTTCCTCCCCATTTTTTCATCCTATTACTTTGTCAAAAAGCATTTCCTTGTGAAAAATTGGCGCTACTCAATTACTGCTGCAGATTTCTTGGAGCGCTGTTAAGTAGACCTGAATACTTTCAAGCGCATAAAGTCATCCTACTTTCCTAACTGGACAAAGGATCCAAAGGCAGTGCTCAGAACTGCTGGAAAGTGTAAAAGGAAGGAACAAACGTCCCCACCAAATGACTTTCACCACCGCTTCTTTAATTTTCAGCAATGGTACTTCCCAGAGACGATAATGAGAGTACTTTTCCAATGAGTCAATGCAGGAATTATCTATCTGAAGGGCGTCAATGAGTTCACAAAGCATAATTAAAACACATGCCATTATAATATTCATTCCTTTATACAGCTCAGACCGCATACGTCAATGAACATAGATAGAGATATGATCACAGCAATGGAAACGTACAATACGTATGCAAACATCATGGCAACAGCCATAACTTCATTGGATCAATGAAATTCGCCCCTCTGGTATTCATTTGTCCTGCCTATCGAGTTTCAGCAACCGATTCAGAAGATATGTCAAAAATATTTATTATGATGCCCGTCGAGGTAGGAAGAATCAACAGATTGCCAAAGCATCTTCATACGAATATCTTATTTCTGTTTAAATTGCGGTATGGATGCCGTATGGATACGGTATGATCGATTCCATGTCGAGTTCTCCCTTTTTTTAAAATAATAGTATCACATGGAGACTTTGTGTAGCCTCAATGGGTAACCCCGCAGATCGACCGGTCTCGGAGGGCTTAATAGGGACGAAATCCTCTCCTCCGATATTCTCGAACGGTGATGGCTCCCACCACTACGACAGTGAGGAGTCCGACGCCGACGGCCGTCCACGACCCGATCGCCAGCACTTCTTGAGGTAGAATGATTCGATTGTAGAATTCGTCGGCCAGCTCCTTGGTCAGGGCTGCACTCTGAAATCAATCCGGATGAGGGACCCGACAATATGGCATATAATTTGATTTCCACTCAAGGATCGAGTAAATTCAAGAGTATAAGGAATTCGAGGCGAATTTTGGTAAGAGATTGTTCAAGATGCCATAATGAAATGTCGAAAGTTGTCAGTATCGCGATATTGTTAGTTACTATCGGTTATCAATTAATGTCAGATACTATCAGAAAAAGAACTTTGTCCTGAACTATGTCTCAAATTAAAATTTTTTTTACAACCATATATTCGCCTCATATTCACTCCGTGTAAACCTATTAATATTAGACTCTGAAATGATGGAAATAAAGATGAGTACCTCATTTGCCCAAAATATTGGGAAAATCGTATGTGAGACATTCGCGAAGCTCAAATATTTCTCAGATGGCTTCAAGTTGAAGTTCACTTCTAATTTTTTGCCACCGTTCAGGGGCAACCCGGTCAATTATGGGAGGAAAGAGAAAATTAAGTGAGAGCATTTGTAAAAAAATTTTTTTCGAATAATGAATTGCAATGTAAGAGAAAGACAGAGACGGAAGACCAAAATTTTATTGTGCAGTGCTGAATAAGAATCGGCTGGTATCGTGCCCTTAAAACCAAGGAAGAAGACTCCAGAGCAGAAAAGTCACGTGGTAAGTACTACCGCTTCGCAACAGCAATGCTGTGTCATCGATGAACGCAAGTTGACGTTTATAGATGTGGTTTACGTTGATATAAAAAGGAATTCAGTTTAGTTGAGTTTAAGAACGGGCTCCATGTGAGTGTGAGATACAACGCCCGCACTACCCATCCGAATTTCGAGCTTTAGCATTCTGAATCTGATCTGAAGTCAGTGATCTTCGGTAATCTTTAGTAGTCCTCAGGGAGTCTTAATTTGCACATTTCTATTTTCGACCTGATGCTGTCAAAATTTGGCAAGCTGGAGCGAAAGAAATTAATTTTAAATCATGAGCAATATTTTACTCATGCACGCACCCACATGAGCTTATGCCTAATCTTTTCTCAATCACAGAAACATACCAAAACCATTGAAAACCTGAGAATTGGAATTTTCCCCCCGAACTATAATATTGGGCCACTGTACCTCTTTGAACCACCCTCTAACATAATGCAAATTCTTATTGATTCTATTATATTTGCCAAATTATGGAAAAATTAATGAATAAAAACTATAATAAAATATTAGATGCTACTACTAAAACATCACTAAACACGTGGGTTTAGTGTAGACGGCCACGCCGTTTTTCTGATGGATGAGCAAATATTCCCATTCAACTTCTAACCTAGTTGTCATTGACGAGAAACAGACTAGTCCTGTACGCAGACTAGCTTCACTATGACCTACTTGTAATTCACCGCTTTTTCAGCTCTTTCAGACTCATTCGTGGATTCCTGAAGTCGATGGGAGGATAATAAATGCTTTTAACGATTTCCTTCACCATAAATTCAATGATATTCCAAGATGGAGCTGCTGAAATTGCTTAAGAATCAATAAGTCAAGATTGCGCTATGTTGATTCATCAATGGGCAAGGTAAGAGAACACTTTCTTCACTGGTGAGGGAACCAAGTCGGCAGAGCCACGTTGTGTCAACGTTGAGAAAAGGTTGAAACGATGAGACTTGGTTGAAGTTGAGAATCCGACGAAGAATCGACATCAATTAAGTGCTGGCTATTCGTAATTAACAGTATTTGCAGTATATTGTGACGACACACGGATTAGCAAAGTCGTTTCGTGGCTATTAAGCGCAAAACATATATGATGAAAAATGAATTTGCGCTTTGTTGCAAATCGGACACAACGTCCCTGTGCCAACTGGGAAGTGTGTGGGTTAAAAGAAATTCAAGAACACCCGGCCTTATGGGAGCCGGTTCTTAGCCCCAAGTATTTTTCCCCTGAGGTCCCACGAAAACCCACGAGAGCTTCTCCAGCTGATATTGTTGGATTTATGTTTATATTACTTTTTGCGATCATAAAACCCTTAATGAAGAGTTTTTCGCGTGGGTCGTTAGTCTTTGACTATTTATACTCCCAATGAAGCACGATTCATTTTTATTTTCCTATTGAGACCTAGCTTGGCAAGAATAACTTTCCCAGTATAGATTTCTTGTGGCTGTCAGAAGACGGATGGATACATGCTTCTAATTCCGTGTTCTGAAGTCTCGAGAGAAGCTAAAAGTTACAACCGTGCCTCGGCAAGTTCGACACGGATGGACACAGTGTTACCAAAAAGAGTAAATTCTGTTGACTTAAATAGAAAAGCCGTGAAGTTTAAATTTTACCCGATTATAATTTAAAAGTGTGCATTCTTTTCGGACTCATTTGTTCATTTGCAACAAAGTCAACATGGACCTAAACAAAAAAATTTGATTCACTTTTCCCATGATTTTGGCCCATTTTTCTTCTAGAAGTTTCACCTATTCCACCCTCTTTTCTTTCACTAGCAGATTAATAATGGCTGAGCACTTCGACGAAGGCGATCAAAATGTCGCACCAACATCAATAATCGTAATTATTTCATGTATGGATGTGCATGAGTATTCCAACTCAAGTGCTAAGACTTCTCTGAGCACATTTCAGCAAGAACCTCCCCCAAGATCAACAGGCTCCGTGAGAAAATACCTAAAACGGGAAGCGATCGCCCATTTCCTTTGCAGTGCTCTTCGTTGCCCTTGAACGAACTTTTTTTCAAGTGCTTCATATGAAACCACAGGAAAAATTCAAGGGTGTAATTCAGGGGTGTATTAATGCTGAGAAGGAACTTGCAGTCTCCCAGAAAGAGGGCGATCCAGCACACCTCCCATTTCGTGGAACTTCTGCTTCTGACAACAAGAAGAAACCGCCAGAGAGACCGACGCTGTGTTGTGTTCGCACTCATGCACACACATCCACGAAAAATCTTTTACTTGAGATACTATTATCGAGGTCTTCAGCCATCAATCACCCACAAATGGAAGAAAAGAGAGTGGAATCAGTGGAGATCCTGGCAGAAAAATGGGGCAAAATCACTGAGAAAGTAAAACATTATTTTTAATCAAAGAAGTTAATTCTGTTGAAAATGAAGAAGGGAGCTAGAAAAAAGCCTCCAGCTGTCTACTATTACTGTGCAAAGTTCACTGTGTCTGTAGTTGGGCATCAGTAATTGTTTTTAAATACAGTAAAACCTGCCTTAGCTTATATGCTTGGAGCCAAACCCTGCTATAAGGTACTGGAGGTTATAAGCTATGGCAGTATAACCTATCAGAGTTTTTACAGTATTTCGAAACAAACTCTGCGTCCACCCTGCGAAAATGTGGCCATTCGTCTGGGGACTCTAAGGCAGGTCCTCACCGGCTCGATGTCGATGAAAGTCTGGTGCCATTCTTCCCATGGCTCCAATCCTTCCAAGACGGATTTATTGTAATATTCCTCTGCTCCTAAATAGAAGTGCGGCATGGATGCCACCAGGGAGACACCTATTGTGAAAACGGAGTCCGTTAGGTATGTCAGCACAAACGACTCCATCGTGAGACTTTCTATCTTTTTTTTTTTCTTTACCAATATCGGCGCTTTTACATAAAAAAAAAGGTCGCCTGAAGATGCCAACTATACTCTATAAGTCTTTCCTTTCAGCGTACCAGACTTCAAGGAAAGATTGATCCTTCCTCGTCATATCATGCAAGAATGCTGGTTATTTTGCGGAGGGCGACGGAAGAGAGGGGTAAAGGGAATCCTGTGGACATCGTCTATTTAGATTTCGCGAAAGCTTTCGATACCGTGCCTCACAAGAGGTTGCGGATTAAACTGGAGGCGCACGGGATCCAGGGTAGGACGAGAGAGGTAAGTCAACGTCTATGCGAAAGCGGCACACATTAATTGTGAGAATTTTCTTATTTGCATGACAAGTGTGTTGGGGGTTTGTAGTAATAGACTATTAACAGACTAAAACGTGTTCTGAAAGTTTCTGACTCACCGATACGAAATGTGCGTCACAGATATAACCGTCCATGTGCTACGATTATCAAGGCTCAGACCAAAAAACGCTGTTTTAATGCAGAACGGAGGCTTATTCCATCTTTTCTTTAATTTTCAGCCAATGGTACTTCCCAGAGACGATAATGAGAGTACTTTTCCCAATAAGTCAGTGCAGGAATGATCAATCTGCAGGGTGTCAATGAGTTCACAAAGCATAATTAATACTCATGACAATATAATATTCATTCCTTTATACAGCTCAGACCGCATACGTAAAGAACACAGATGGAGATATGATCACAGTAATGGAAGCGTACAATACGTATGCAAACATCATGGCAACAGCCATAACTTCATTGGTTCAATGAAATTCACCCCTCTGGTATTCATTTGTCCTGCCTATCGAGTTTCAGCAACCGATTCAGAAGATATGTGAACAATATTTATTATGCCCGTCAAGGTAGGAAGTATCAACAGATTGCCAAAGCATCTTCATCCGAATATCTTATTTCTGTTTAAATTGCGGTATGGATGCCGTATGGATACGGTATGATCGATTCCCTGTCGAGTTCTCCCTTCTTTTAAATAATAGTATCACATAGTGACTGTGCAGCCGCAATGGGTAACCCTGCAGATCGACCGGTCTCGGAGGGCTTAGTAGGGACGAAATCCTCTCCTCCGATATTCTCGAACGGTGATGGCTCCCACCACTACGACGGGGAGGAGTCCGACGCCGACGGCCGTCCACGACCCGATCGCCAGCACTTCTTGAGGTAGAATGATTCGATTGTGGAATTCGTCGGCCAACTCCTTGGTCAGGGCTGCACTCTGAAATCAATCCGGATGAGGGATCCAACAATATGGCATATAATTTGATTTCCACTCAAGCATCGAGTAAATTTGCGAGTATAAGGAATTCGGGGCGAATTTTGGTATGAGATTGTTCAAGATACCATAATGAAATGTCAAAAGTTGTCAGTATCGCGATATTGTTTGTTACTATCGGTTATCAGATATTATCTGATAACCGTCAGATATTATCAGAAACAGAACTTTGTCCTGAACTATGTCTCAAATATAACATTTTCTTACAACCATATATTCGCCTCATATTCACTTCGTGTAAACCTATTAGAATCTGAAATGATGAAAATATAGATGAGTACCTCATTTGCCCAAAATATTGGGAAAATCGTATGTGAGACATTCGCGAAGCTCAAATATTTCTCGGACGGCTTCAAGTTGAAGTTCACTTGAAATTTTTTGCCACCGTTCAGGGGCAACCCGGTCAACTATGGGAGGAAAGAGAAAATTAAGTGAGAGCATTTGTAAAAAATTTTTTTTTTCTAAGAATGAAATGTAATGAATGAGAAAGAGACGGAAGGCCAAAATTTTTATCGTGCAGTGTTCAACAAGAATCGGCTGGTATCGTGCCTTTAAAACCGCGGAAGAAGACTCTGGAGCATAAAAGTCACCTGGTAAGTACTACCGCTTCGCAACAGCAATGCTGTGTCATCGTTGATGATAATTTGACGTTTTTGATGTGTTTGAAGTTGATGTTACAAAAGGAATTTAGTTCAGTTGAGTTTAAGAACGGGCTCCATGTGAGTGTGAGATACAACGCCCGCACTACCCATCCGAATTTCGAGCTTTAGCATTCTGAATCTGATCTGAAGTCAGTGATCTTCGGTAATCTTTAGTAGTCTTCAGGGAGTCTTTATTTGCACATTTCTATTTTCGACCTGAAGCCAAGTAAGATATAACTAGATGCAATCAAAATTTGGCAAGCTGGAGCGAAAGAAATTAATTTTAAATCATGAACAATATTTTACTTATGCACGCACCCACAGAAGCTAATGCCTAATCTCTTCTCAATCACAGAAACATACCAAAACCATTGAAAACTTGAGAATTGGAATTTCTGTAGACTCTAAATTCTGTAGACTTAAATAGACAAGCCGTGAAGTTTAAATTTTACCCGATTATAGTTTAAAAGTGTGCATTCTTTTCGGACTCATTTGTTCATTTGCAACAAAATCAACATGGACCTACCTAAACAAAAAATTTTTATTCACTTTTCCCATGATTTTGGCCCATTTTTCTTCTAGAAGTTTCGCCTATTCCACCCTCTTTTCTTTCATAGCAGATGAATAATGGCTGAGCACTTCGACGAAGGCGATCAAAATGTCGCACCGAAATCAATAATCGTAATTATTTCATGTATGGATGTGCATGAGTATTCCAACTCAAGTGCTAAGACTTCTCTGAGCACATTTCAGCAAGAACCTCCCCCAGGATCAACAGGCTCCCTGAGAAAATACATAAAACGGGAAGCGATCGCCCATTTCCATTGGAGTGCTCTTCGTTGCCCTTGAACGAACTTTTTTTCAAGTGCTTCATATGAAACCACAGGAAAAATTCAAGGGTGTAATTCATGGGTGTATTAATGCTAAGAAGGAACTTGCATTCTCCCAGAAAGAGGGCGATCCAGCACACCTCCCATTTCGTGGAACTTCTGCTTCTGACAACAAGAAGAAACCGCCAGAGAGACCGACGCTGTGTTGTGTTCGCACATGAATGGGGGCACTCATGCACACACATCCACGAAAAACCTTTTACTTGAGCCACTATTATCGAGGTCTTCAGCCATCAATCACCCACAAATGGAAGAAAAGAGAGTGGAATCAGTGGAGATCCTGGCAGAAAAATGGGTCAAAGTCAACGAAAAAGTAAAACATTACTTTTAATCAAAGAAGTAAAGTTAATTCTGTTGAAAATGAACAAGGGAGCTAGAAAAAAGCCTCCAGCTGTCTACTATTACTGTGCAAAGTTCACTGTGTCTGTAGTTGGGCATCAATAATTGTTTTTAAATACAGTAAAACCTGCCTTAGCTTATATGCTTAGAGCCAAACCCTGCTATAAGGTACTGGAGGTTATAAGCTATGGCAGTATAACCTATCAGAGTTTTTACAGTATTTGGAAACAAACTCTGCGTCCACCTTACAAAAATGTGGCCATTCGTCTGGGGACTCGAAGGCAGGTCCTCACCGGCTCGATGTCGATGAAAGTCTGGTGCCATTCTTCCCTCGGCTCCAATCCTTCCAAGACGGATTTATTGTAATATTCCTCTGCTCCTAAGTAGAAGTGCGGCATGGATGCCACCAGGGAGACACCTATTGTGAAAACGGGGTCCGTTAGGTTTGTCAGCACAAACGACTCCGTCATGACTCCGTCATTTTTCTTTTTTACCAGTATCGACGCTTTTACACACAAAAAAAGGCCGCTTGAAGATGCCAACTATACTCTATAAGTCTTTCCTTTCAGCGTACCAGACTTCAAGGAAAGATTGATCCTTCCTCGTCATATCATGCAAGAATGCTGGTTATTTTGCGGAGGGAAGAAAGAAATTCCCAATGAAGCCAAGGAGGGAAATATTTAACATGGAGCTTCCAATCTCGGGCAGCATTTTCTTTTCACTGTGTGGACTTACCGGTACATGAGGTGAGGTCCAATACTCCAGCTTTCAGGCATTCACCATTTACACAAAAGCACTGATTTTCCGGATAAACATCTGGGTCTCCGAGAACATCAGGACCGACAACGAATCGAAGGGCCGGAATCCCTCGAAATTCCACCTTCTTCTCGTAAGTGAAGTATCCCGACCTGAGCGTTTACTGATTTTCCGAGCAAATGCCTTCATTTCAGAGCATACACGGTGGACAATCGAAGAACTCACCTGCACATTTCCCAGATGAAGGCATACAGAACGGAATTCTCGTCGACGAAAGGACGATAGATCATGCCGTCGGTGCCATTGATCATGTTGCACTCGTCTGACCCCCACGGTTGCTTCTCGTGATATGGAAGCCCTCGCCAGAGCTTGATGTCACCGAAGTCTTCTGGCCCGTTTCTGCCGGTCCCGACTAAGTAAATGCCGTCGTTGGTATTGTTGAACTGCACAATGGAAGCATCAGGTCATTCGAAATCGTTTGTGTGCGCTGTAAAAAATAATTCCGACTAAAGCTTCGGATACAGGGTTTCCTTCTGATTCGCGGAGAAGGGGATTCCGATTCATAGCAGAAACCATGTCTCCTTTTTTTTTAACGTAAATATGCTGTTCCGAAAAAAAAACCCATCGGAATCGATCCCTCAGACTAAAGCGAGTAATGGAGCTTTCCTCTCATTTTCTGGAAAATTCCATTCCATATTCGGAATCGGGTTTCGTTCACGGAAGTAATTTTCTGTCTCATTCGGATTTTCTTTAATTGCCTTCATTATTGAAAAACGGCTCCTTTTCATTCGAAATACTGCATGATAAATGGGATTCATCATCATTATGCGTCCTCACTTCATAAATCCGCGAGTATTTGGGAAACTAAAGGAATCGGGTGGATTCCTCAAGGTGCCAATACAGAAAGATCCGAATGATCACGAAGGATATTTCGGCGAATATTCGAAACAGGCTTTTCTGACGCGAACAAAGAAAAGGGTCGTTCGCTTGAAAGTTGGACTTCCCATTCATGTCCCTTAAACGTAATATTTCGTGAAGAAGAAGGGGGAATTTCCGCAGAGAAGACGAAGTGGGCTTTCCGAAGAAATGCAGGAAATATTTTCTGAGCCTGAGGCGAAATCCCGGTTTACAGGTCCTTCTTCGGAAATATCCGAAAATTTTTTTTAGTGTATAACTCTTTCGAAACGAAAGGAACCCCTGAATTTCATGCAGTGAAGATGTAGTTTAGGATTATTACTCGCATTTTGTGCTTACTTATCTTAAGAGATATATCTAAACAAACGAATAATTGACAAATCCAAATTTCCGATTGAAGTTGCGCTGTCACGCGATGGTGCATGACGTCCCCATCTGAGTTCATGCACTTTTAGAAATGACCATGTACCATCCGTGGTTCGCAATGTCGCGAGTGAGTTAACCTCCTGCAACAAACCGAAGCATATTGAGTTTGGAGATTACAATCTGAATTCGTTAACTCTTAGATTTAATAGCGCGCGTGGCTTCTCCTATTCTAATAGATACTCCAACCTGGTCGATTGCATCGTGGCTCCAGGGATGGACTGCATTTCTTAATGTGAAAATAGTTTCTCATCAAAACCCAAGTCATATACTCATACACTAACTATGAATAATTATGAATAATAACTATATATAATAAATACGTATACAAACTATTTTCCTGGCACTCACGCGGTAGTAACCGAAAATGCCGCTCGCCATTTCAGGTGGCAGCAGACCGGAAATAGTGTCGTCGATGTAATCTTCGCTCAGCGGCAAGTTTTCCAGCAAAAATTCCTTCAATATCTCGATGAAGGTCATCTCGTATCCTTTGATGAGGAGCTCTCCGACTGATTTCCTCAAAAGCGGTTTGCCGTCGTCCGTCGTCTCCACTGTTTCGATGATGACTTCCATGAGGGCGTTGATAAAAAAATTGTCCAATTCTTCTAATAGCCTCACCATCGACTGTGAAATATGAAATTGTTACAGGCAACGACTGCTATCGATGATGGTCTCGGTCTCCAATTGAACCTACCAAGTGGAGGTGAGTTGACTACGGTGCACAACATTGTGATGAAAATGGAATTTAAAAATGAAAGAGAGATCCCGGTGCATGCATCCCGGCTTGTAAAATCACGCTTTAATTTGGATTATTGCACGTTGAGAGAGATTTCCGAAAAATTGTCGGAGTTTCTTCACATAGACGAAGAACGGGAACTTTTATCTCTTACGTAGGACGACTTAGCTATTACAAGGCAACGAAATGGGTTTTAAATCAAATTGTCTCTCCCCATCTCAACTCTTCTATGAGCAACTTGTATTCTCAGGAATCTCCTCTTCCCGATATCTTGCCAAAGTTTCGATTCAAATCGGCTCTACGTACCCTAGACGAGATGGTCTTTCTGTCATACCAGAACGGGCGTATTCAAAGTGAAGATGATCAGGCTAAGAACAGGGCAGCTGTACAGGCGAAGCTTCTTCTTGCAGAACAAAACCATCATAAGGTGCCACGGCAACAGCATCAGTAAGTTGTGAAGGAAGAAGTCATAAAGGGACAAGTCTACAATGAATGAAGGCAGTTCGTGCGAATGAGTTTGCGTTCCTGAGTTCCCCAGAGATTATCTTCTTTCCTAACCTGTAGGTGTACGGTCCGAGTTGCTTCAGTTTCGGCACTTGTTCCCCTGAGAGAAACTCGTCTGGATTGGTGATGTTGTACATGTAAAACTGCAAATAGATCGGGACGGGGGGCGACTTCCAGTCCTCGTATATTTCTTTTCCTCTCTCCAGCAACATTTCCTAGGTAAGGGAATTAACATAAAAGAACAAGGAATTTTGGTGAAAATAGGAAACCATGATTTTCAGGAAATGACGTAGTGTTTCTCTTCATTCCGTTACAGGAAGCGTTCAGTCAGCACCCTGTCGCGTATGTTAAGCCTGTCATCTTGTAATAAGATGAGATAACGTCATAATTCTCCTCTTATGGAATCTAATCCATACATGGAGTTCTACGTAATCTGTGTCATTTTCTATTCCACTTGTCCCAGAGAGATAATTCCCTCTCGGTCCTCGCTTAACTTCATCCTCTCGATCGAGAAACCCATTTACGTATCGTGGACAAAGTTGCTAACATTTCTCGCGAGGTCTTCTTTTAAATCGTTAACCTGAACTAGAAACACCCTCGGTTGTTTGCATGAGGGACTCCACTCGCGACTCCTGGTCGACGCTTCTCAATCAACAACTGCTCTCTCTCGTCATTCAGTTACTCATCCCATACAAATACATTGCAATGGTAAATACTACCTCGAATCCAGTGTTGCAATTCAACTTGCAACCGCTTATGAGAGACTTTCTTTTTTAAAGCTTTTGAAAAGTCTGAGTAGACTATGTCAGATGACGAGGGCAGGATTCCTTTTACCAATCTCGTCCGTCACCCAACCGCAGGGTTCGGGCAAGTCTTCACTTCCCGCCTGCTTTTCACATGCTGAGATTCCCGGATGAGCGAGTGTAAAACGAGGAATTCAAAAATGTGATCTCATTCCATTATCATCCTCAGAATGCTCTTGGAATGCCCAGCAATTTCCAGGATCCCTCCTAACTTCGTGCCTAAAGATCGGTACGACGTTCGCTATTTCCAATCCCGACGCACCTCATGTTAAATGCCTTTCTCAAAAATTAGTAAATGTATCGATACTTCCCGCCCGAGTTCCTTGATCACTCAGTGGGATCACATCGGGTCTTTTGCATCGCCTGCCGCCAGCTTCCTTATCTTATTCATAATGTCTTCCTTGGTGATGACGATATCTTAGATGCCCACCTACGTGACCAACTTATGGATATGGATGAGGTTTCCTCATCTTGAATATCTCATCATATTCATATGCATGTGCATTCTGTACAAAGAGTAGTAAAATTCCTAGATTTTCATGTCAATTTTCTCAAAAAGCAAAATGTCTCTCGGAATTTCAGAAGTGAGAGGGATTGATCACCTTACCACTTACGCAATTCTTCATATTACCCTTGGAATTTCAGAGTAAATCGCTATCGAAGCTCATCGTGAACTCGCTTGATTAAACACTTGCCTTCTGAACCATGTCGTGGATGATATCTGGCGCGCTGTAATAAAGGACGCTTCCGACGACTATCAGAACGAGGCCGAAGGAATAGAGAACCCAATGCCACCACCTGCAAACAGACGGCATCCTCTCCTAGACACTGCGACCGCGTTCTCGTTTCCAACACGAATGACCCGAATGACCCGAGCAGGGAGTCGTGACTCGTAATCTCTCCGGCGAGAGGAGTTGATGAGTGCAGTCCTGGTATGAGTATACTAGGTTTGGGTGATATGGATTTTTATTCCATAGGTATCGTCGATATCGTGTGAGTTCCAGAGTTCAACTGCGGGGGGGGGGGGATATTGGTAGTAGGAAGGCACATTTTTTTTCAGGAAATGAACACTTTTTTGAAAATGGATTCCAACATCGTGGAATGATGCACGTTACATACATTGCGTCATAGTAGATCGCGGTTGAAAGCAAAGAAGGATAACTTCGACGTTTTCTGTCGCAAGGTATGTACGATATTTGTTTGCAATTTGTTTTCAAAGAATGATTAAGTGGTATTTTTAGCAGCGGGACTCGACTTATCACCATATTCAAATTGAGCATGCTTGTGCCCATGATGCAAGAGATTTTTCGTATTCTCAGAATGTGGAATTTCTTCCTTTCAATGAAGGCATACAACTACTTTTCCATATTCTGGGGCTTATTGCATCCACCCAGAGAATAAAATCTAAATGCATTCCACACTACAGACATTCCACGAGGGTGAGGTACGAGCTTCCAGTCACACTTGCTAGTCCACAAAGCACTCAGATGTTTTGCACAGCACTCACTAAAATTTGCCTTGATTTGATAATGCTCAGGGGTTAACTGAAACCCAGTGTTTACTTTTACCAAACACCTCAGAGGAATTACCGAGGAAAAGAAAGCATACAGGGAGGATTGCAGCCCGAAGATTACCCCCTACATCCATCCCTCATCGTATCAGTTTTTGTCAAGGTTGACAGTATCCTAAGTCTTTATTGTGTTTTCATTGTCCTAAGCCTATGTTATTTTAAAAGAGAAACGAATGGCGCAGTTCTTGTGCTCTATTTCCCTTCTCCTGCAACAGCAGTAGATTAACATTTTTCACAAATAAGAAAATCGCGATATACACGCAAATCACCGATAATACATGTATCGAACGATAACGTGATATATATCGATGCATTGGCACAGTTCACTTTCACCCCCGTCGAAAGGGGAGGATGCGATCCCCGCCTTTCTTTAATTTTACATTTCTGCGGGACAAGACAAATGGTTCCCATCCCGTCTTATGTGCCCAATCCTGTTCCCTGTCTCCCATAGAAGTTCAGGCGTTGGGAAGTAGGGAGTCATCTGTACCTCTTAAGACAACTTGGATCCTCTCTATCAACGCTATTTGATAGAGAGTGCTTTAGTCCAGAATCCAGAGAGTCCATTAGTCCATTTGATAGAGAGTCCATCTGTCCATTTTTTTATTCGTGCTTCGGTTCTTTTTATGCCCCAGGAATGGATATGGGAAATACTCTATTGGGGTCTGAGATCGTGACGATAATGGATTTCTTTCTTTCGATATCTAAATCGAAATTTTGTCGTTTCTTGATGTGCAAATGCAGTCTTGGACTAGTTTACAGCAAAGCACAAGGTATTGTTTAAAAAAAAATCCAATGTATCAATATGTTTCTACTTTCAGTGCCATACCCCTTCTCATTGTTCCTCACCGTTCTTCCACCAAGGCTCAATGCATAGAACAGGGCTTCCCTACCCATGGGTCGCAACCCCATATGAGACCGCCGAGATCATATTTGGGGTTGCGAACCGGAAACTAACGCCATGTAATACCTTTCTTTGTGATTTTAGTGCAGAGGTGGTGCAGAGGTAGGTGCCTGTCGAACTTCAGTCAGTGTTTGGGGTCCTGATTGGTATGATCGATTTTTTTTGGGGTCGTGCATGAAGAAGGTTGGGAAGTCTTGGTATAGAAGGTATTCTCCCGCGATTAATGTTTTGAAGTGTTATATGCTTATCCCTCGGTCGAGCGGAGGAAGAATATTTATGTTCGTGGCTGAGTCGAAGTGGTCTTTATGTCATTGCTGACAAGCACCCTGAAATCTCATTAATCAAGGATTGAATTGAAAAAGGAAATTTTCTACAAGATAAGCTCCCAGCACTTTTCTAGGAGAGAGAGATTTTCTCATTTCATCCGTAACGATGGAAGGAAGACGTGACCTAATTCTTGGGTTGCCCAAAGGTTCAGGTCCTCAAATGTATTATTCTTTAGAGTGGTCTTGCAAAAATGAGTCGTGCACAATCCAAAAGTCGCGAGTCTGGAGCACCGTCGAGGAAGAATCACACAAAGTTTTCGAGAAATGTCGGAAATCATTCTCACCCATTCGATCGCCTAATTCCAGTAATCTAGACAGAAATATTTTGACTATGGAGTGCGTCACTCATAAACAAAGGTGAAGTGAGCCTAACAAAAACTTGTGACTCTAACTTATTACTCGAAGTATAATTGCTCATCATGCTCTTTTAACTTTCCGAATAAAATTTTTCGTAGACCGTCCAGTCTTGTCCACCCAGTCTTGTCAATCATAGCCATCCCTCCAGCAAAATACCAATTTAGAGCTCTCGAATTACATACTTCAGAGCAGGCAAATTACGAGGTGACGTTCCTTCCAACTGTTAGTCCAAACTTAATTAATCACAAGAAAAACATAAGGCAAACCATAATAAATCCTCTTTTTTTCCCATTTACTTCTGATTTTACTTTATAACCAGAGGCGAAATCTAGCAGTGTTACATAAGACCCCGGGAATATTAAAAAAGAAAACCTTGGGAAGGACGATATCTCGTAGAGTGAGCACGTAGAGCATACCTGTTCACTTATCTAACTTGCCCTTGATAAGCTGGTGCATGGATATTGACCTGGAAATGTATGACTGGAAAAAATTTTCCCCTCTGCGTGGTCATTCATTGAAGAGATATGATGTTAGAGAAAATGCAGGATCTCTCTACGAAAAAAGTTAACCCTGCAGGAATTTATTTTTCTTGTGTTATATGACATTTATGTGAGATAACACATATTATGCGGAATGGCGTCAGTATTCTCTGAAGGACCTCGAGTTTTCATGTGCATGGGGTAATCAGAGGTGTAGTGGACCACCCGGTAGTAGTGGACCTCTCTCCTAAGTTTTTATTCCTATAAGATGCAGAAAAAGCTTCAGTTGCAATCTTCCCGTATGTTAGCATTAAGAAGTAATGTTCCCCTCAAGAGCTAACAGAAAGCCAATGACATCTAGGATTCTGAGTGGTTACTAAATTTTCTGTTTTTCCTCTGAATTTCCCTCCCAAAATTTAGAGACCATGGGATTTGGAGATTGCCACTGGAGCTTTTTCTGCATCTCATAGGAGTAAAAACTTAGGAGAGGTCCACAACTACTGGGTGGTCCACTACGTCCCTGTTTACCCTACAGATTTGTTCCGTGACTGATGCTTAGGGAAAAATGTCGTCAAAATAGTCAGCACAGCGCATTCAAAGTAGAGAAATGACGGAGAATAGCTCCGTATTTCAAGCTGGTGTAGTCATTATTAACTAGAATTTAATCCGAGCCTAGCCTGATCCAAAAAAATCCTGGAGAAAGAACTGAATTGGAGCACTTTCATATCTCATCTTTGTGAAGAAGCATTATTTCTACCCCAAAACCATCCCTTTCAAATCTCCTCTCAGCTGGAAAGTGAATGGTTCTCGAGCTTTCACCAAAGTTGTGCAAAGGTAACAAGCAGTTGTGGGAATGCATGGCGATCAATTTCCATATCTGTTGCCCAATACTCTGCATTTCTTCTTCTTTTATCATGTATAGCTCTTCCCCAGTGTGCCTTTGCCTGTGCAACAACTCCCCCTGCATATCTGTACTGCTCGGTGATGCATATATCATAAAGATTTTTACACCTGCAATCCCCTCTGTCGGATATCATTTGGATCACGCAGTCCTTCCGCGGTTATATTATGTGTGCTACGTTTAATATAATAAGTCATCTTGAAAAGAAGTACCTGTAAGACAAAGAATGGAACTGGGGATTCGGAACGTTTCTGGACGTGTCATGAGGGGAAAGTCGAAAAGAATTTATTTTGAGCCGTAAATAACGTCGGAAAATATAAATAAATGCAAGATATTGGGTTGGAAAGAAAGTCTTGCAACACTTTCTGACGAAGCCCTGCGGAACGCCCTCAACGCGAAGCCGAACGCCACCACTCGCGAATTGGCGACTACACTTGCAGTCACCCATATGGCCATCGGCAACCATCTGAACGACCTCGGCTATCGGAAGGTTTACTCGACGTGGGTCCCTCATCAGCTCAGCGACTCTGAGCCGTGTCAGTGTCTGCGAATCACTGCTCCTTCGTCCGCACAGAAAGGACCTTCTGAAGGAAATCGTTACTGGAGATGAAAGCTGGGTCCTCTACGTCAACTATACTCGTAAGAGTCAGTGGCTTCCACGAGGAGAATTGCCGCCACACGAACCGAAACCAGGGTTCCACGAGAAGAAGGTTCTTCTCTGCTGTCGGTGGGATTCAGAAGGAATGTTGTACTATGAGCTCCTGCCAACCGGTACCATCGTGACTGCCGTCGTCTACGCTGCTCGACTTCAGAAGTTGCCTGGAGTCATTCAAAAAGAGCGTCCCAAACGCGACAAAGTTCTCCTTCTGCATGACAACGCTCGTCCACGTGTTGCGAAGATGACTGCCAGACGATTTCGGAACTGGGCTGGGAAGTTTTACCCCATCCAGCGTATTCTCCGGACTTGGCCCCTTCCGACCATCACTTGTTCCGGGCCCTCGAGAATCACCTGCTGGACGAGGCCTTCGACGATCGAACAAAGCTCGAAAATGATGTCGGCCGTTTCTTCGCTTCGCAATCGCCAGAGTTCTGGGCAAAGGGCATCGAGCAGTTACACGTGCGTTGGGAACATGCCAAAGACAACAATGGTCATTACATTGTAGACTGAAATTGCATTTCATGAAGTTATAAAATTTGGAAAAATTTGCGCAGAGTGTTGCAAGACTTTTTTTCCAACCCAATATTATTAAAGTATATGACATTGACGGCTTGAGCATTAAAGAAAAATGGACCGGAGTTTATATACAATTTTTTGCAGAGATCATGGAAAGAGGCTCTCACTAAATCTCTGATAAACCCCATGGGCAACTTTGATTGAATGGACGTGGGAAAACAAATGGAAATGTGGCTGAATGAATGGAAGGGGACTTCGCGCAGTGCACCGGAACTTATTGATTCGATTTAACGGTCTCAAGAAATTCCCCATTGGCGTACACGCACTACTATCCTATCTTAGTACGTAGTTCTAAAATTCTTCATAGAGCTTCCATAGCCTCGTATTCTGCCGTCAGCCAGCGATCTGTGCTTTTACTTGATTTTAGTGCAAGCTGCTTGTGCAGACTTTAAGGCAATTCTCATAACTTTTTCTCAGTCTTAGGAAAATTTACTCCTTCTGTATGGGTTCAAATTTCATTAATGTTGCAATAAATTTAAAGCACACAGATTGTGCAAGGATTTTACTGCTTTTAATCAGAACTGCACAACAGAATCAGAGGGAAATAGACTTAGTGCTACACCAGACACTGGAAATGTACAGTAATTAAATATCACTTATGACGGAAAGGGAGATAAAGTGAGGGACAAATATGTGTCAATGTTTGACACAGTTCCAGTTAATGACTCATAACTCGAGTATAACGTGTTCAACTTAATTAAAATTTCAGCCAATCATATTCCTACTTCCTGGCTTTCGATTATTGCTAGTCGCGCGTCAACTGGCCTCCTATAGGCTGAGCCGCAGTTGTTCAATCAACCATGTCATTGACACAGTTTTGTCCCTCACACTCGGACATACAGAAAGTCGAATTTATTAACGCTCTGTGCATTCGCCTTTGGCCTTCAACACTACCAGAACCATTCTAGACATGCTCTCGATCAAGTCCAAGCATATTTGGACAGGAAAGGCGTCCCCCTCGGTCGTGACCCGCCGCCACAACTCGTGGATCCTGGCTGGCTCATTTTCGTACCCCGTCAGCCTTCGCTTCAGGTGTTGCCGCACATATTCTATTGGGTTGAGGTCTGATAACTGTGCCGGGCATTCTAGGACCTCGATTCTCCGGTTCTGGAAGCATTGGTGAGCCACCCGCGAGGTGTGTCTCAGATCATTGTCCGGCTGAAACACCACCTCTCTCACTTCGAGCCAGTCGAGCTCAATTGTTGGGGGCAATTCGTCCTCGAGGTTGCTTGTATATACCTTGGCATCCATTTTTCCTTGTATTTGAGATCCATATCCAACCTCCTTGGCAGCCCCAAAACGTCAGACTGCCCCCACCATAATTGCGGGATCACCAGACATGCCAATCTGCTAGAGCCTCGACAGCTGGTGGAACTCTTCCGCCGCCACAAACACTGAACCATAGAGAACTGGAAACATATCATTTGGTCAGAAGAGACGGAAATCAACCTTGTGATGTCGGATAGACGTGATTGGATATGGAAACATTGTGGCAAGGCCTTAACAGATAGGCATGGTAGAGAGGCCCTGCAAGTATGCTGGAGGCAGCCTGACGTTTTGGGGCTGCATGATGGCCAAGGGAGTTGGATATGGATGTCAAATACAAGGAAATTGGATGCCAAGGTTTATATCAGCATCCTCGAGAACGAATTGCTCCCGACAAATGTGCTCGACCGGCTCGAATAGCTGCTGAAATCATAATATTTTCCTTACTAATAATACAGAAGTCTTTTTCTGGGACAGTCTTGATTGTACCTGGTCATCAAGTACACTCTTAGAAAAAGGGGAGAGATTTTTCTAAAAAAAAAAAAAAAAAAAAAGAGAAAAATAGCTAACTCCAGTTTCACCCCCCTTTCACTCTGGGAAAGGAGCGACTTTACTCCACTACCAAGGAGTAAAATTGCTCTCCTCCTCCGTGAGTAAAAACGTTCCCATCAGAAAGTGATAGGGATGTCATGCAAATACGAAAGTTCTCGTATACCTTGTGCCGTTTCGTTCTCCTACAGGCGGTAACCTACCTCTGCCTGTACTGAATACAGCACACGTCAGAGGGTGGACCACCCCTTATAGGTTCCGTGGAGTGCCTGAGATATCACTTCCTTATTACCTCATTTAATTGAGGTGTGATTGACCGAAGTTCACGGACACTTTCTGTATTTTCTAAATCTCCTATGTGGATTAAGTCTTATGCGTTCCAAAAGGGTTCTCAATAGGAATATGAGCTTGTTTATGACCTGGACTCCATGAATATTTCTTGAATATGTGGACAACAAATGATGAAGTGTCCGTGTTTATTTATTCCTATAATGAGGCTAGGAGAGACATACGTACGAGGTACTAAACAATCCTGCGAGTGACGATTTCAGGGAAGGAGGGAAGGGAACTTTTGTGTACTGTGCGAAAAGCGAGACCCTTACCTCCATCTAGTGGCCTGGAGAAGAACTTCAAGGTGTTCACTTCAATACGAACGATGAAGGAGCATTTGGTGAGTAATAAGAGAGTAAATTCGAAAGGGAGGGTGATTCGAAGAGGTACAGTGTCCCAGTTATGGTTGGGGGAAAAATGCTCAACTCCCAGGGATGGTTTTCGAAGTTTTCTGGGATTTTTTTGATACTGAGAAAAGATAATGCACGCATCTACAGAAGCTTATCAGTTTCTGTAGGTGCGCGCATGAGTAAAATATAAATCATGATTTGAAATCTAATTTCTTTCGCTCAAGCTTGCTAAATTTTGACCGCATATAGTCATATCATATTTTGCTTCAGGTCAAAAATAGCTAGAAATGTACAAATAAAGACTCCCTGAAGATAACTGTGGTTATTGAAGATCACTGACTTCAGATCAGATTCAGGGGGTGTTAAAGCTGCAAATTCAGATGGAGATCGCTGGCGTTGCATTTGACAAACATGGAGCCCGTTCTTCAACTCAACTGAACTGAATTCCTTTCGTAACATCAACTTAAAACACATCTAAAAACGTCAACTTACCATCAACGATGCCACAGCATTGCTGTTGCGAAGCGGTAGTACTTACCAGGGGACTTTTATGCTCCGGAGTCTTCTTCCACGGTTTTAAGGGAGCGATACCACCCGATTACTGTTCAACACTGCACGTTAAGATTTTGGCCTTCCGCCTCTCTATTTCTCATTCATTGCATTTTATAGTTTGCAAATTTTTTGTCTATTAATTTATTAATTTTCTGTTTCTTTCCACAGCTGACCGGGTTGCCCCTGAACGGCGGTAAAAAATTTCAGGTGAACTTCAACTTGAAGCCGTCCGAGAAATATTTGAGCTTCGCGAATGTCTCACATATGATTTTCCCAATATTTTGGGTAAATGAGGTACTCATCTCTGTTTCCATCATTTCCGATTCTTATAGGTTTACACAAAGTGAATATGAGGCGAATATATGGTTGTAAAAAAAAGTTATATTTGAGACATAGTTCAGGACAAAGTTCTGTTTCTGATAATATCTGACAGTAACTGATAACCGATAGTAACAAACAATATCGCGATACTGACAACTTTTGACATTTCATTATGGCATCTTGAACAATCTCATACCAAAATTCACCCCGAATTCCTTATACTCGCAAATTTACTCGATCCTTGAGTGGAAATCAAATTATATGCCATATTGTTGGGTCCCTCATCCGGATTGATTTCAGAGTGCAGCCCTGACCAAGGAGCTGGCCGACGAATTCTACAATCGAATCATTCTACCTCAAGAAGTGCTGGCGATCGGGTCGTGGACGGCCGTCGGCGTCGGACTCCTCACCGTCGTAGTGGTGGGAGCCATCACCGTTCGAGAATATCGGAGGAGAGGATTTCGTCCCTACTAAGCCCTCCGAGACCGGTCGATCTGCGGGGTTACCCATTGCGGCTGCACAAAGTCACCATGTGATACTATTATTTTAAAAAATTGGAGAACTCCACATGGAATCGATCATACCGTATCCATACGGCATCCATACCGCAATTTAAACAGAAATAAGATATTCGGATGAAGATGCTTTGGCAATCTGTTGATACTTCCTACCTCGATGGGCATAATAAATATTTTTCACATATCTTCTGAATCGGTTGCTGAAACTCGATAGGCAGGACAAATGAATATCAGAGGGGCAAATTTCATTGAACCAATGAAGTTATGGCTGTTGCCATGATGTTAACATACGTATTGTACGATTTCATTGCTGTGATCATATCTCTATCTGTGTTCATTGACGTATGCGGTCTGAGCTGTATAAAGGAATGAATATTATATTGTCATGAGTATTAATTATGCTTTGTGAACTCATTGACGCCCTACAGATTGATCATTCCTGCACTGACTTATTGGGAAAAGTACTCTCATTATCGTCTCAGGGAAGTACCTTTGATTGAAAATTGAAGAAAGGTGGAGAAGGTCATTTGGTGGGGACGTTTGTTCCTTCCGAGCTTTGGCAATCTGTTGATACTTCCTACCTCGACGGGCATAATAAATATTTTTCACATATCTTCTGAATCGGTTGCTGAAACTCGATAGGCAGGACAAATGAATACCAGAGGGGCGAATTTCATTGAACCAATGAAGTTATGGCTGTTGCCATGATGTTAGCATACGTATTGTACGCTTCCATTGCTGTGATCATATCTCTATCTGTGTTCATTGATGTATGCGGTCTGAGCTGTATAAAGGAATGAATATTATATTGTCATGAGTATTAATTATGCTTTGTGAACTCATTGACGCCCTGCAGATTGATCATTCCTGCACTGACTTATTGGGAAAAGTACTCTCATTATCGTCTCAGGGAAGTACCTTTGATTGAAAATTGAAGAAAGGTGGAGAAGGTCATTTGGTGGGGACGTTTGTTCCTTCCGTTTACACTTTCTAGCAATTCTAAGCACTGCCTTCGTCCGGTGAGGAAAGTAGGATGACTTACTACGCATGAAAGTGCTCATTTCTACTTCACAATTCTCCAAGAAATCAGCAGTAGTAATTGACCAGCAGCAATTATTGCGAAAAAATGCTTCTATTAGATAGCAAAGTAATTGGACGAAATGATGGGGTGGATCGACGTCTATGCATGCTGCCTTCTTTCTTAATCAGCATTTTAAAACAGTTGATCAGATAATATGATCAATCAGATAATAAAAAAAAAAACAATGTTGAACTTGCTGGTTTCGAACTGGATGTAAGATGAATTTCCGACTTCTGCTTTTCCATTGCAAGCACCCAACGTGGCACATCTTTCACCAACTACTGATAGGTCTCTGCAGTTGTTTCATTCCAACCCAAACTGTGTGGTCCATGAGTCGATGATCCATGGTCCTTCCACATTCGATCACGGATCGGATCTAGGCTTTTGGCTGGCCAGTCACGCATGCAAACCCTCTATGCACCGGATTTTCCTCTACATTTTCTTGCGTTCATTCCTTCGATCCCCTTTGACAGCTGGTATCGCATTTTTATCAAATGAATTCCCTCCATTCAGTTTTGGTCTAGAAACTATCTAGTTGCACTCAACTGTGGGATGATTTTCGAAAAATTGGAAAACCATCCCTAAGAGACGATGGTGATCATGATTGAGATTCATCCTGGGTGTCAGGAAGATGTGATCTCACGGAGTAACATGACCTCGCTAATGTTTTTGTGTCCATCACCCTGTTCAAAATTATCCTGGGTTCTGTTGGCTTCGGTTGCCACATCAGTCGAATATATCCAGCCAGTCAAATACCTTCCCCGGCGTTGTTTATGGAGAACATATCAAGTACTGCTCCAAAAGTACTAGAGACGCTTACCGACTGCATATAGAAGGTAACTAACCATGTTGGGCAAGTAGTCGCCATCACATTTCGCAGTCAGGGAATTTTGTTTGTTCGCATGTATCGCCTGATGTCTCGCCTGACATCTGTTGATTTAACGTTGACCGGAGAACGTTCTTGCAATGTTGTTCTTTTCAACATCGAATCAGCATTGAATCAATGTTAAAGGATTGATGCCATACTGAACCGTTGCTTTAATTAATAAATGAGCAATGCGGTGATGTTGTTTCACGTGAGTTTATTCTTTCTTTATAAAATCTATATTACTTCGATACGTGCCAAAGGTATTCACCATACGCAGGTAGTCATATTATGCAGCAAAAAAAAAAAAGATTCATATGGGTAACACTACACTCTTAGAAAATTCCGAGCGTTTGGGGAGTAAAAAGTGGGCACACCGTGAGCTTTTCGAATTTACTCTCTTATTACTCACCAAAAGCTCCATCATCGCTCGTATCGAAGTGAAGTGCTCTTTGCGAAAGGAAGGGGTGGCACAGTACTTTGCTAGAAATTTCTTGCAAAGGATTACAGAAATGTAGGACTATCGTGAATATTCACAAGCTAGAAGAACCCGGGTTTATTAGAGCGGGAGCGAAGGAGCGGGAGACTCAAACTAGCCGTAACCGAAGGAAACTGCTTTCATGGGGAGGAAATCATTTCTCAAGATGATAATCCAATGAAGCAAAATTCTTATCCGCAAATTTCCAGACGTTAGGACGAGATTTGGATCGGCTAAGCGGATTTTGATGGGCTAAGAAAAAAATCCTTAAAGGAATTATAATTTCTTGATTGAATGGGGCAGATCCTCCCGCCAGCGTCCAGGTGCGAGTGCAACATTGCAATTCCAGTTGACTTTATAAATTCATGCGTGTTCCGAAACGTCCAATATTAATATGTAGGTATATGTAAACGTCCAGCAATATTTTTAGCTGCTGAGGCCAATTTCTCGAGACCCAGAATAACGACATTAAACGAGCGTGAAAATGGCCTCTATACGGCATTTAATGAGACCGGTTATTTGGCATTCAAATTTATATAGACCATTGAAAAAAATTACGTTTTAACTAATTTGCTTTTTAAGTAACGTTGACATAGTCACCTATAGGAGTCTAGTAAAACAAAAGCGGAAGCAGACGCGTACAGGGAAAGCGATCCTCGAAAGCAATGTGGAGATACCTAATCCTCTAAAATTAAGTCTATAAATGTACTCCCAAAATCCAAATTTTGACAAAATTTAAAACCCTTTCATGGAATAAATGATCTGTATGAATATGGTTCCAATATCGAATTCTCTACCTTGAAAAATGAGAATACATCATTATTGTGTATTTGTGCAAAAGCATACTTAATTTTTTCATTTCCAAACTTTCTAAAATGTTCCCGTTTACCACAAAATGTTACCTCTGTAAATCTAGGGGAAATGACTGAAGTTGGGATAATAGTTAACCTGTGCAAGTCTCACAAACTAAAATGTTTCTATTGAATCTCTACATTCAATGTTCTCCCAAGTTTTGCTGCCTAAAATTTTTTGCGTCACAAACTTGAAAATTTGATTTTGAAATTAAGCATAAATGACACATTTGGCACAAATGAAGAAAAAATTGTCTTCTCAAAAGTAATAAATAGGTTTGGTTCAGTACATTCCGGTCATGCGATGTTGACCTCACGGATGGCCATCGTTCGAGGAGTCCAGTAGAGCTGAAGAACGATCTTCTGAGGTCGCAGGTTGAGTCAGACCCCGCTCAAACCATCCAACTATCTGCAGAAAACTTAATTCTTCGTGGTCGAGTGTTCAAGAACACCTTCGCCAGATCGGGAAGATAAATAGACAAAGCGTTTGGGTTTCACACCAACTTTCGGCCGAAAGCGTTTTTTTCACCAGACTAGACCCATGAACGGGCCTGTCGTTTGCCAATGTTAAGCCAATAAAGGGGAAGAAAATAACGATGATGACATTTGTGATTCGAAATACAAACACGAAAGTGCCAATCTAGCTTACCTTGCAATTCTGATCCTCCTTCTGAAACCCCTTACTCGTCCTACACTTGATCCTGTGAGACTCCAATTTATCCTGCAATTACTTTTTGAGGAACGGTACCGATGTTACTTTTGACCGTATCTTGGCAGATTGGGAGAGATGAAACAGACCAGACAGGCCCTCATGGATTCATTTATGAAGTCTACTTCATGTTATGAAGAGCGGGAGACTCAAACTAGCCGTAACCGAAGGAAGCTAGAGCCTGTACAGTAATGGGCCAAAGATGCCTGCCAATGCCGATGATCTGCCGAGCATGCCCTGCACGGGCCATTGTTGGACCAAGCTTTTTGGTTCTGTGGGTATCTTTAAGAGGGGTAGGTCTATCTTCAGACCAACACCTCTTAAAGTGTGTGGATCTATGATATGGATATGGATTTGAAACGTTTGACCTTAACATGGGATGCCTGGCAGAAATACCTATAATCATCCCCACATGAATCTTGAAACCTCAAACTTGCAACCAGGCATTTTTTAATGAAACTTAATCGGGGATTATAATGGAATTACTCAATGGACTTTGCCAACGGGAAGAAAATAACGATCATGACATTTGTGATTCGAAATACAAACACGAAAGTGCCAATCTAGCTTACCTTGAAATTCTGATCCTCTTTAAACGAAGGCGCAGGAGGGGTGGGTGATATACAGTATATCTCAGAAAAATTTTAAGAACGAGCCTCAATCTAAAAAAAATGCGCCCCAGGGCATTTAATGTTGGATTTTCCAGAAGTCAGTACGGTAAAAACTAGTCGTTTGCCAAATTTCATCTTTCCTTAATATCTGTAACATTGGTAAAATCAGCGTCAGTCACTCAGACGTTCAGTCATTTACGATGAGGACATGTGCGACGAGAGATAGTGGCATGAAAAGTGGCAGTCCTGAGGCTAACCTACTTGACCACTCCCGTTCTCTCTCAAAGATGGCGAGGGAGGAGAGGGAATAGAACATTCCCTTCTTTGTCCATATTTCCGGGAGGGGGGGGGAACAAATCCGCTTGGTCAGCAGATCTACTTAACAATATGACATAGCAGATTCCACTCGTCACACGACTCTGTCACAATTCTTCGATGAACCATTGTAAGGAATTCAAAAGATATATTCCCGGAATGCATTCAGGAATTCCAAATATCATTCCCAGTGCCAGTGCACCTGTCACTTTTGATGGAACGAAATCATGTAGGCCATCTGTGAATCTAATCGCCACATTAGTTCCTCGCAAAATGTCTCACCAGTGAGCAGATTGTATAAAGGTGACTACCAATCGGGATTGATGGAGTAGATTGCATTGAATGACATATATAAGTTCTTCGCTCCTGTCATAAAATTCAGCAGCAATTTTTATATATTATTAGGAGAACCTGTTGGCGAGAGTGTTCAATATTCTGGCACTTTGTTAATGTTAT